GGTCTAAGGTAGAATAATTCAGTTGCTCAGTTGTTTGTATGACAGCACAGATGAGAGATGGGCTGTGAGATAATTTTACCTTTTCCATGTGATTATACCTTTTGTAAATTCTTATCTTTTTTTTGCTCTATGATGCTAATTTTCTTTTCTCATTAGAAATTATGAAATCTATTAAAACGACCGATTCACGCAGATCAACTATGTTTAGGATTCTGATCTGTCTAATGTGTTTCGCAGTTCTGTCAACATATGTTGCAATCCACTGGCCAACACATTATCCTGCAAAACTACAAACATTTTCTTTGAACAAGACATCAAAACTCAAAGAGACGAAAAACGAGTCTTTGTAAGTAAACCTTCAATAAACCATGGATTTCCTCCATGAATAAACTTAAACTTAAGTTATTGGACTGGTCTATTATTCCCGTTATCATAGGCCTAGTCCTATTATTTCGGTATTATTCTTATAATAAATCAGACAATAACGGAATTATAACAATAAGCAACTTACATATTAATTAATAGGTGTAATATATTTGTTACATTTTCTATCAGCATTAACCTGGTTTGAATATTACCTCTTGTAGGTTCAAATGTTTAAGATGAAAAGCATCTTTTTATTTTAACCGAAAACAATCTCACTTCAAACAATAACGAGGGAGTTTTATATTCAAAAATCGACAATTATGGTTTTAATCAATTTTATTAAATTCCAAAATACAATGAATGAGAGCTCTGATGGTCTTGGAAACATGTTTTATTTCTTTTCTATTTCTATAAATAAGCTTTAACTGTTTATAATTTCGTTATTTTGAAAAAAGGCGATAATAATTAAAATCATGTTTATTTTCTACAGAATATTAACCGAAAACCCCCAAGTTAAAAATATGAAGAAAGCACTTGAAGCTGCATTTGATAAACACATTTCTTTAGAGGTTGTATTAAGAATGCGGTAAGATTATTATACATCACATCCACAAATATTGTAGACGGAGCATCGGTTGCTGTAATCATTATTATGCTGATGATATTGATGGCGATATTGATAACGATGAGGATGATGATGATAATGATAATAATAATAATAATAATAATAATAATAATAATTAACAATTATGATAATAATAATAATTATTATTAGAAAATTAATAATAATTGACAATTATTATAATTATTAATATTATAATCGCAGCAAAAACAATTACACTACATAGTGCAAGTATAATAATTATTGAATAGTCTTAAATATCTCATCTTAATGAAAATGAACATTGTAAATATAGAGTAGCGACGTTTTTAAACGATGAAATCTTTTTCATTGTAAGTCTACTTGCACACACAACTTGAATGAAGTTATATTATATCTGAAAAAAAAGTTTTGGTGTGAACAAGGTGTAGAGTACTAAGCAATTATTTGTGTATTTAATTATATCATTAGTTCTAGACTGAAAAAATTGGGATTGTCATCGAATCTGACGATTTATATACCACCCCATCAACTGGACGACGAAAAACTAAGATTTTACCGCTATAAGAGAATTAAGAAAAGACCAGTAGGACAATTTATTCCCCAGCAACGGACATGCGCAGTAATTGGCAATAGCGGTATTCTTCTGGGTAGTAAATGTGGTGCTGAAATCGATGCTCATGATTTTGTGCTAAGATCAAACATGGCGCCGACTAAAAGGTACAAAGACGACGTTGGAAATAAAACTAACCTAATGACTATTAATTCGAAAGCATCAAAAATAGCATTAAAGTGTGTCAAGCAGCATAACAAATACCCATGCCCGGAGAATCACCTGAATATATTCCAATATTTGGAAGGTTCCATCATCTGGTTTTCCAAATTTGGTTCTTTAGCAATTCATTGTTATACGGACTTTGTGAAATACTTTCGAAAAACGAATTTAGATCTTCTAATTGCTTATCCATACAAGCCTATACGTACACAAATTCAAAGGTAAGGATACACTCTATGTTAAGGCTTTTTCTCTAAAAGGATAGTGCTGTATTAAATTCAGTTTTCTTTACCAGTTTCACCTTTATGTCTCTTTGAAACTAAAACTAATTTCCGTACACTCTAGATTTCCATTGTTTAATATTTAGGTGTGAGGCACTTCAACATTCACTGACGCAGATCATGGGGTGGGAGAGGAACTCATCGCCCCTCATATTTTTAAGGGAGGGGGGTTGATCCCCACTTTTCGACCGCAATGTAATTTCATAAGTCAAGAAGATGCCTGAGAATTGTTGAAATAAATTGCATAAATTACCCAGGATTTAATGGTAGAGCTTTGTACATGATGGTGAATTTTGCTATGATTGTCATTTTCGGCCTATAGAGGTACTATTTCCTCAATTGTTCGCACCTCAGCATTAACCATGGTGGAACTGAGGTGGGTGTGAACTAATGACTCCCCAACCCCCACCTCAAAGCAGATCTGCGCCGATGTCAACATTTTGAGTATTATTATTATAGTTAATAGTGTTACGGAATTTTTTTATTTTTTTATTTACCATTTTATTCATTTTATCATACATTGCATTCAAAATGGAAATAAACAAAAACAATTAAATAAGTTCCCTTCTTTTCAAAACATAGAGTATTATACATATAATAAATACGTTTTATAGTTTCATTGTAAGTACAAATATATTTTATATCCTGTAACAATTTTTATAAATTCTTTTGCAAGTGAAAATATAATATTTATTGTATTTAATATTCAAAACTTTCTGTACCATTACGTTATATACCAGAGGCCAGGGTACAAAGGCCATGACTTGAAACATTTAAATATTTATTATTTATTATTTATTTGAAGCTTTGAAAAAGAACATGCAGTGAAGACCAAAATGAAAAGAATTTCTCTTGGTTACAGGTGGAAAAAAATATATATCTTGTAATATCATAGTATCTAACAATTTCTCTCTTTATATTTGTTATATATGGTAACACTTTCTGTTTACTATTTCTATAGATAATTTCCTTTACTAATATAATAACAACATTTATACAGTTTTTCCATCTATTCCAAGTATTATCATTTCCTTTGAAAATTGTAATTGTGTTTGGAGGTTTTTATTTATCCAACTTTCCAAATATTTCCATATCTTATATAGTTTTTCAAGATTACGGTATTAATTATATTCTGAGAAACTTCTATCTCGTTTCCAATTTATTTCATTCATACCAATTTACTTGGATGGTTTTTTTTTTTTTGTTTTTTTGTTTTTTTATCTTGCAGATTCTGGAAAATGAGGTACAGTCCATCTTCTGGCCTGTTTTTATATACGGTATCAGTTCCTATATGCGATAGGATATCATTGTATGGGTTCTATCCGTTTAGTACAGCCCCCGACGGCAGAAACATTCCATACCACTACTACGAAAATATTAGTTTTGAATCTGGTCATAATATGACTCATGAATTCAGCAAATTGTTGGCGTTGAGAAAACAAAGATACTTCAGAATGGTTACAGATAAATGCAATCTTTAATAACTTAAATATATTTGAGAATGCCGAAAAAATAATCACTACAAACTCATCACTATAGTAAAACAATGAAGATCTTGAATTGAATCTTTTCTACTGAATGGAACCAACGCGGAAGCCGATTGTAGCGGAAGTAAAACAACTTTTGCGGACACCAAATATCATGTATTTTTATTTTCGTTATGACAAAACTGAGCGATTCCAACTGGCATGAATGCTAGACCTACTTAAGAGTACCCGATTCTATAAGTATCAGTTTCGGTAACATCACCATTCATGATGCCGTCACCAAACCTGATTAGGGGATTCTGATCAGATGATTGATGACTGGTGTTGTCACCAGTATAGAAGTGTATCAGCATTTTATTTGTCACCGAAACTGAATGATCACTTAGGTAGAATCGGCTGAGAATACAGTTATATGTTTAATCTTCTTCTTTATGTACCATAGCATATTATGCCGTAGGCGTTCATGGATTGTCTGTCAGTATCTGTCCTGTCTTTTTCCATCTCTTTCTATCTCTCGCAATATTCCCAAGCTCTACATCATTCTTCACATTCAGCTTTTCTTTCATCCAATCAAGCATCTTCATCCTTTTCCTTCCTTTCGCCCTTTTCCCCTTCAATTCCATCTCTATGATATGTCTTTCAATTCCACCTTCTTCTCTTAGAATATGTCCAACAAATCTCCATTGTCCTTCTCTTATGGTGTTCATCAACTGCCTTTCTGTTTTCGCTTTTTGCAACACTTCTCCATTTGTCATTTTCTTTTCCCACGAGATCTTCAACATTCTTCTGTAGAACCACATTTCCACAGCTTTTAATTTCCTTTCCATCGCCTTGTTTATTGTCCAGGACTCACATCCACACGTCAGCACTGACCAGATATAACATTTCAGTAATCTTTTCTTCACTTTCATTCCAATTCTCCCCGCACAAAAAAGGTTTTTCATATCCTTAAATGTTTGCTTTGCTACACCAATCCTATACTGGATATCCTTATTCGATCGTCCATCAGACGAAATCCAACTTCCCAAGTATTTAAAACAGTCCTTCTGTTTTATGCTGTTTCCCTTCACTTTCAAGCAACAAAGTGGAACCTGCGTTTTCTTTGTACAAACCATGGAGAAGGTCTTCTGGCAGTTTATCGCTAATCCCAATTTTTCACTTTCTCCCGACACGATGTTAACAAGTTCTTGAAGTTTCTCTTCCGAGTCCGCCATTAAAGTTGTATCGCCTGCATACCTCAAGTTGTTGTAATTTATCCCACCCAGTTGTAACCCTATACGTGTCTTGATCTTGCTTAGAGCTTTCTCACTATAAATATTAGATAAATCAGGGGACAAAATACAACCTTGTCGGACACCTTTATGGATTTCAACCCATTCACCCACTTCTCCATTTTATCTGATGGCAGCTTTCTGATCCCAATACAAGTTTCTAATCAGCCTTAGATCTTTCCCATCAATTTCCAGTTCTTCCAATATCTTAATCAGCTCTTCATGCTTTTTAATCACAATTTCTTTATTAATTTTATTTTGCTTCAATTGCTGTTATTCTATGAACATCTCAACCAAAATGCATGAAATAAACTGCCAAAAATTACCTGTTTTCCATCAAGTTTGTACTGTTTGTATTTTATTTATATTAAGTAGTATAGGACAATTGTGACGTCATCATTTTACATCTAATGTCATTTAATCTCAAGGTGTTCATGAAAACTGTGATTTTTTTAAATTCATTTGGTTAAAATGGAATTTGTGTTATTAGAACAATCACATCTGATTTGTATCCTGAATAATAATGATTAAGGCAAAATTTGCTTGGATCAAACTTAAGATGCCCGCAAAAGCTGTGAAATCGTCTGATCATTTGATATCTCTTCTCTATGCAATATTGATATAATAAAGTAAGCTCTTTTAATGTTGTAACCTAAAGTACACTGCCAAGACATAATGATCATATAGATTCTCAATATAAGAATATTATACGAATACAATTAACATAATAGTAATATGCTTATACGAATACTAATAACATGTTAAGAAAATAATAATAATATTACCAATGCAGTAATGCATCTAATAAAATAAATGAATGTTTTAAACGACATGTTTCGACGTGTCCCACGTCATCATCAGGCAATAGCGCTGTGCTACTGACGGCTTAAATACTGCCGGTCAGATGTGGTAAGGTGAAGACAAGCAATTATTAAGGTAGGTCATGTATATAGAGGTGAGGAATGCTATGGTAAGTCATGTATATATTAATTAGAATGAATTAGAATGAAAGAGTGATATTGTAATGAGTTGTTTGTTTGTTAAGTGACGGATTTTCCCAAGCAATGTAAAGGGCTTCTTTTATTTTAAGTTGATAGGTGTTGGGGGCGTTATTGCATGATGATGACGTGGAACACGTCGAAACATGTCGTTTAAAACATTCATTTATTTTATTAGATGCATTACTGCATTGGTAATATTCTTATTATTTTCTTAACATGTTATTAGTATTCTTATAAGAATATTACTATTATGTTAATTGTATTCTTATATTAAGAATCTATATGATCATTTATGTCTTGTTTACTTTATTATATCAATATTCCATAGAAAAGAGATATCAAATGATCAGACGATTTCGCAGCTTTTGCGGGCATCTTAACTTTAACCAGCACGCCATCAGAAAGTTGTGATCCAAGCAAATTTTGCCTTAATCATTATTATTCAGGATACAAATCAGATGTGATTGTTCTAATAACACAAATTCCATTTTATACCTCTAAAACTCATTTTATTTTGATAATGAATTTTATGACCAAATAGATGGAGTCTCAATGGGTTCCCCATTGGGACCCGTCTAACCTTTTCATGGGATACCATGAACAATCCTGGATCAAATCGTTTACTCATGCACCCGTTCTTTTTTACCAACGTTATGTTGATGATGTTTTTTGCTTATTTAATTGTGAACACGATGCCTACACTTTTTGCGATTTAAAAAAAAATTCACAACACCCATCAATTAGATTCAACATGGAAAAGGAGTACAACAAAAAATTACCCTTTCTTGACATCCTTCTAGATAACACTGTTCATAACTCATTAATAACCTCAGTCTATCACAAGAAAACGTATACAGGTTTGTTAACAAATTTTCCATAGCTCTATGTCACTTGCATATTAACATGGACTTCTACGCACTCTAATAGACCGTACGTTTAAAACTAACAACACATGGTTGGGTTTTCACAATGATTTAACAAAACTTGTACTCACTTTTCAAAAAAATTGTTATCCGATTTCTTTAATTAATAAAACAATACATAACTACCTGAACAAAAAACTATCGCACACCTCTTTGGATCCTCCTAAAACGCAAACACAAACCTCTTATTTCTAGTTACCTTATACACAATTATCTAATTATTGTCAACGAAAAATTAACGTTATGGTCAAAAATTATTGCTGTAATATTAATGTCAGACTTGCTTTCAAGTCATACAAATTATCAAATTTTTTAACGTAAAAGACTAGGACTATGTCCCGAATAATCTCCGAGCCCGTGTTATCTATAAATTTACTTGCGCGGGGTTTAACTCCGTGTATATTGGCGAGACCAATGGACACCTAGAAACACGGATTAAGGAGCATTTATTTCGGGACAAGTCATCACACATATTTCAACATCTTCAGAACTCAGTTAAATGTGAAAAAACATCTAATCCAGACTGTTTTACTATTCTTGACTCCGCCCCCAACACTTATTAACTTAAAATAAAATAAGCGCTTTACATTGCTTGGGTCTATATACATGACTTACCATAGCATTCCTGACCTCTATATCTTGTCTTCCCCTTACCACATCTGACCGGCAGTATTTAAGCCGTCAGTAGCACAGCGCTATTGCCTGATGATGACGTGGGACACGTCGAAACATGTCGTTTAAAACATTCATTTAATAATAATATTAATAAAAGTGATAATAATAATGATGATGATGATAACACATGTTAACAATTTCTTCAATAGTAAAGGTACGTTTTAAGAACGTGATGATTTTATTGCAAAGGATTTAAGACGAATAATAATTTTCTAGATTAGGCCTACCAGGGTATACGAAATGCTTTATTCCATGCGTGGCCACAACTTAGAGATCTCGATAATAATTTAAAATGTCCTTTTTCTGTCTATCATATATAAATAGTCCTATCTGGTAGAGTGTAAAAAAGTTATTAAATTCCTTATGTTGAGCTAATAAGAGCTTAAAAAAATTAAAAATAAACAAAAAAATAATGAGGAGCTAAATAAGTGGTCCAGCAACATGAAGTTTTTTATTCACCGATGAGAAATGGAAAAAAAAAATTCATAAAAATAATTTCTTGTGTACAGAGTATTACAAACGCAGATGGTTCCAATAGAGAGTGGGGCGTAAGGGGCGTACTCCCCATCTACTTTTTTTGTTAAAAAAATTGTTTTGTAAAGATTGTCACCATGCTAAATAATAAAAATCAATCAAATAATGCCTCAAATTATTGAAGATGCTAGTGGTTTAAGGGAGATTTGCAACTTTCACACCTACCACAGGGTCTTCTCTGAGACTCACAATCAAATCGCACATACACGCCCCTCTTTCATACCGAGCTGGATCTGCCCCTGCAACTAATAATTTCCTCTTTAAATTGAAATAAAAGATTTTAAACTATATGCTCTTTTTGTCATTTAGAACCTGAAACTATAGCTCACCTTTTAAGCGAATGTTCAATGTGTATCCAGTTTGGAAACAAATTTGAACAGTTTTTTGTTCAACAATTATGGCTGCATTTTAACTGTACAGTACAACAAAACAATCCTCTTTGGTTTTAGAAATCAATCCATCATTAATGTGTTACTTTTTTACATTATTATTGGTCAGCTAAATATATAAAATTTCCTTTAACCTTTGCTGGTGTTTATTGAAAGAATATTTTCTGTTGGAAAAATATAATTTATTATTCAAATTTTAAAATGACCCACTTCAATGATAGATGGAATACATTTACCTCATTACTTACTTACAATATCATTGATTACTTCCCATATTAAGCATAAAAAGACAATCTTTTTCGTATTGTTTTTTCCTGCGTGTAGAATTGCAAGAAGTCCGGCTGCCCTCATTTTGTATGCAAACAATGAAACGTTAAAAAAAGTACTACCACGAGATAAGGGGCGCCATATTAGAATTCGAATAGTGTTCACTTGAAAGTCGTCTTTTGAAGGACACGCCTCTTCTTCGTGGTACTTTTTGAAATCTGATTACGTTCCAACGAAAACACGACCGTCAGACCTCTTGCAGGTCTATACTTTTTGATTATACTATTGGATTTTTTGTTTGCATTTGATATTACTGAAATAAAAAATAAAATAAAAATATGTGTTTAACAAAAAATAAGGAAACAAAACTATGACGTGTGGTGTCAGGATTTGCCCGACTGGGTCCGTAAGTGGGCATGGTCGGGTGTCGCACAAAAAAGTCTCTCAGAAGTGTTCCAGAGGGCGTAGAAATTTTGTGGTTTCAAATGCTTATTTATACAAATTCAGAGTCAGTACTAATTTGTTAAAAAAATATACCGTATTTTATTCGAATAAACGTCCCATTTTGAATAAACGCCTTTTCGAAAAAAAAGGCGTTTATTGGAATACTGTAAATTAAAAGGCAAGATACTGGTTTAAAAAAAACCAATGCTATGGGACTTTAAAAGGCATGGCTCTCAGTTAAAATTAGAAATAAAATTATATGAAATGAATGTCCTTCGCCTAAATAAATACGGAGCCCCTAAAGGGGCATGGTTAGAAAAAATATTAAACTATTTCGAGGGAACGAAATAATATTTCGAAGGAACGAAATAATATTTCGAGGGAACGAAATAACATTTCGAGGGAACGAAATAATATTTCGTTCGAACGAAATATTATTACGTTCCCTCGAAATATCATTTTGTTCCCTCGAAATATTATTTCCTTCCCTCGAAATGTTATTTCGTTCCCTCGAAATATTATTTCGTTCCCTCGAAATAATATTTCGTATATGGTACGACCAAAGTGCCTTTAGCGTCGGCTGTTCGGCAGTGTTGGCGCCAGGATTTGCCCGACGGGGGGCCGAGGTCCCCGGCTGGGGGTTCAAATGACTCCGACGAGGAGTCAGATTTTCCCGAAGAAAGCAAAGTGGGTGTGATCGAGCTACGATTAAAAGATTTAGACAGTTTTTAAATTTTGACGATTTTAAAGGGTTTCAAAGACATATTTAATCGATATTGGAG